CTCTCCACCAGGTAAGATGCAACAAGAAGTCTGCAGTCTGGAAGACGCCCTTCACCCAACCATGCTGGCACCTTGATCTCAGTCTTCCAGCCTCCAGAACTGTGAGAAATAAATGTTTGTTGTTTAAGCCCCTTGGTTGATGGTATTTTTGTTACATGAACTTGAACTAAGACGGGGGAATCAAGAAATAAGCCTTAGAGGGGAGCCTGAAATATCTTGCTTAAAATTCTTCAATGCTTTTTTCTTGAGCACCAGATGCAACTTCATACTCTGCAGTGTGGCATTCAAAATCTTTCAAGGGGCTCCTGGCTGGCTCAGTTGGTTAAGCGTCTGCCTTCAGCTCAGGTCATGGTCCCAGCATCTTGGGATATAGTCCTAAATTGGGCTTCCTGCTCAGCCAGGTGTCTGCTTCTGCCTCTCCCTCTGCCGCTTTCCCCTGCTCATGCGCTCTTGCGCTCTCTCAAATAAATGAAGTGAAAAAAAAAAAACAACTTTAGAAAACCTTAAAATCTGTCAAAATCTATCCTAAGGTACCTATATCTTACCCTCCCACCTAAATCTGAGTATTTGACAAACATTCTCCCCTGAATTTTTGTACTCCCCATGCCTGTATTTATTATCTTCCCTCTGCCAGGAAAAACCCTCCATACCACAATGAAGGAATTCAACTTACGTTTCCGGAATCCACTCACTTATATTAACCCCCATTGGTGTAATTAACCTCCTCTGGAAAGGCCCAGGTAAGAGCAGGTGATAAAAGCTGGAGGGGCCTTTCTGTATGTTGGGTGCTATAAGTCTGTCCTCAAACATTCTGGGTGAGATAGATACTGTTTCCATTTGAAAGTTTAGAAACTAAGGTTCAAAGAGGTTGTGACAGACCTGGAACCGAGCCCAGAATAACTAGATTCTAAAAGCTTGTATTCTTTTCACTACAGCTTTCCAGGGAATCCATCTTTCCTTTAACTAGGAAAGCACTTATCTTTTGTATTCCAATTATCCTTATCTTTTGGTACTCTGTGAGTTCCTTGAAGGCGGAGGCTGTCTTTTTCACTTTTTTTGCTCATATGACTGTCAAAGAGAGTAAGAACTTAACATACGTTGGTTGAAACTGAATGGAGATGGCTTATAAAATAGCTCTAGTGCTCCGGGAATTCCATATTAGATGTTTTAAAGCTATGCCCAACCGATTTCCCCCAAAGTGAGAATTCCAAGGTTCCCCATCAGCCCTGTCCACTCCAATGTCAGGCAAAGCACATGACTATGAAGCAGGTAGGGTAGCCACCTGATTTTCAGAGAAGGTGCTATCAGCCTAAAGATATGAACTCGTTCGGGACAGTGAGAAGGCATCATGGGTGCAGAAAAAGGCGGAGTTCTTGAACGGTAAATATCTTGTCCTGCTTTCTGGCAAGAACCCATGGCCTTGGTGAAGAGCACAGTAGGCTTTTCCATCTGATTCAGAGGAGTTATTCCATTAATATTTATTGAGTGACCGATTACGACAGTGAACAAAACACACCAGGTCTTCATTTGTGGAATTTGTATTCTAGTGGTAAGAAACAAAGATACAGTGCCTTGGAGAAAATAAAGCAGAGTGAAGGGATAGTGAGTGTCGGGGATGTGAGTGGGGCAAACTGTGAGACACCTGGATGAAGTGGAAAGGAAAAGCACACAGACCAGTGAGACTGTGGTGAGCAAGGGGGTCCCTGGTAGGAAATCAAGTTAGAGAGCTAACGGAAGATAGCTTATTGGGGCCAGGTCCAACAGGCCATTTATAAGATTTTGGAAGTTGAGTGATGGGGATTCAGTCGTTTTGGCCAGTGCAGGAAAATGAATTGACTGCATCTTTAAAAGTACAAACGGCGTCCTTGAGAGCAGTGATGACAGTGCAGAAAGGAAGGTGATCGTAGTCCAGTGAGTAATAGGGGCAGACTGGTTATTGGGGAGCCTGCTGAGGGGTCATATTCTGGACTATTTGTAAAGTCTAGCCAACAAGATTCACTGTGTATTGGAAATATGAGAACAGAGGGGGCCAGGAATGGCTCCATGGTTTTCAGCTTGAGCAGCGGGGTGAACAGATGCACCATTTAGTGAGGAGGGGAACGCTGGGAAAGAGCTTAAGTGTATTCGAGAAATCCAGAGTTCTCTACGGAATACTTGGTAAATTAAGTTAGGTAATCTAAGTGACTGCAAAATAATCCAGAGGTCTGTAAATACGAAAAAGATGGATCATTGACAACTGCTCACACTGTGCACATGCTGGTTCATTATACTATGCTCTTTTGCATTTTAAAATTTTGCTATGATAAATATAGTTAGACATATTAAGTATGAGAGGCTCATTAGACTTCATGTGGAGATGTTATGTGGATAGATACATGAACCTGAGTTCAGCAAAGAACTCAGGGCTAAAAACATGTGGGAGGTATCAGCATATTTAAAGCCAAGGGATGGACTGGAGGGTGTTATGCTGAGTGAAATAAGTCAGTCAGAGAAAGACATGTTATCATATGACCTCACTGATATGAGGAATTCTTAATCTCAGGAAACAAACTGAGGGTTGCTGGAGTGGTGGGGGGTGGGAGGGATGGGGTGGCTGGGTGATAGACATCGGGGAGGGTATGTGCTATGGTGAGCACTGTGAATTGTACAAGACTGATGAATCACGGATCTATACTTTTGAAACAAATAATGCAATATATGTTAAGAAAAAAAAGATGAAGAAGAAGAAGATAGCAGGAAGGGAAAAATGAAGGGGAGTAAGTCGGAGGGGGAGACGAACCATGAGAGACGATGGACTCTGAAAAACAAACTGAGGGTTCTAGAGGGGAGGATGGGTTAGCCTGGTGATGGGTATTAAAGAGGGCACGTTCTGCGTGGAGCACTGGGTGTTATGCACAAACAATGAATCATGGAACACTGCATCAAAAACTAATGATGTAATGTATGGTGGTTAACATAACAATAAAAAAATTATTAAAAATAAATAAATAAATAAATAAAGCCAAGGGATGGAGTGAATAGAGAATAGGTCCAGTACTAAGAAACTGAACTCTCCAACATTTAGAGATGAGAAGAATCTAGAAAGGCATTTTTGCATATCAAATTTACATAAATGCATATCACTTTACTAAAAAATACGTAACTTTGAATCAGCAATTCCATTCTAAGAACGTATAAGGAACAAACAGGACTAGAACACACAGACCATGATACAGATTTATCATAATGCTCACTAGGAAAACAAAAAGTTGGGGCAGGGGAAAGGTGGCAAGGTCAAATAATCTGTAAATCGGACAATAATGGCCTAGCTGAACACATTACACTACATTCAATAGTGTGCAACAATTTAAAGTGATGTAGGTCTACTTTAGTGACCTGTAAATTCTCCCACTGAGAAAAGCTGATCAAATAAAGCATTACAGTTTTATACCTACCTGTTACACTGTAAATAATGTATTTTGCACTTTCCTTACTATCAATAACCTAAAGTAGTGAATGTTACTATCTTTGGTGGTAAAATTATGTACTTTTCTCCCCTATTACGCTTACTGGTATCTGTTTTGTTGTTTTTCTCAATAGGTATTGTAAAAATATATGTTTAAAATTTTTTGTAAAGATTTTATTTATTTGAGAGAGAGTGTGAGAGAGAGCACAAGCAAGGAGAGGAGCAGAGTCAGAGGGAGAAGCGGGCTCCCTGCAGAGCAAGGAGCCGACGGGGCTCCATCCCAGGGCCCTGAGATCATGACCTGAGCTGAAGGCAGACGCTTAACGACTGAGCCACCAGGACGCCCCACAAGTTTACATTTTTAATAAAGTTCATTCAGTAATATGAAATACAAAGGACCTCAAATAGGAAACTGATTTGAATCAGTCAAAAATTATATTGATACCAATAATATCTGACTGAAATAACTATTATTGTTTTAAAAGAAATACATCATAAATTTTAATAGTATATTAAATATTTTATTTAAATTAAGAAATATAACATTTGTTGCACTGTTTCAATAAAATTTCAAGTTACTTACAAATAATAATAATAATAATTCCTTGGGTACCATATTTCAAGTATTGCAAAGGTGTCATGAAAACATATTTTTCAAAATGAAAGACTATTCTAAAATTTGGTATATAAATCCAGACATAATACATATTATACATACTGAGTTTAAATAATCTAAAGATAAAAATCATTTTAAATAGAGCAATTTACCTCTCTGTAACGGAAGTTACAACACATGCCATCTTGACATGTACTCAATGGATTACATCTAGGAAAATCACTCTTTGTGAATACGATTTATTCTGGAGTACAGTTCACATAAAAACACTCTCTTTAAAACATGCTCTGTTGTAGAAAAAAAATAAATGTGGGCCAAGTACTTTTAAAACTGCAAGTTGCTTTTAATTAAATTCATCTAATTTTAAGTTATTTCTCCTAATTTACCTAATGACATCATTAACAAGGTCTTATTCATGAGCTTGCCCTTAACCTTAAAAAATAAATTTGTTTACATTTCACACTTAAAAGAATTTTAGCCTTCAATTTAAAAGACATATTTTTTTCACAAGTCCAATTGTAACAATTCTGCTTCTTTCTTGCAATGCTTTTACTAGATAAAAACTATTAAAATTTTGACCTCAGAAAATCCACTTAGATCAATGCTTTTAATGACTCTAAAAGCTTCTGAATGTATTTTATTAATACTTGAGTCAAAATTCTCGATTTCTACAGGGATATTATATAAATGTCTCTTCTTTAAACTATTTATTTCATCTTGGTTTTAAAAGTCATTAAATACTACGCCTCTAAAAGAATTTTTTCTTTCTTGGCCTTGGTCCATTCAGTATCTTATCTATCTCAAAAGTTAAAATTATTGTTTTTCTATATCTAATAATCTGTTTAATCATAAGTTTTAAGGGATAAAAATAAAATGTAGTTTAATATTTTATCATGACCACCTGTTACAATGAGGCTTTCCTCACTAGAAAAGCTAGCTTTAAACCAAATATAGATTTTCCTCCTGCAACTCACACTTGTCTATTGAATCAGTTACCCAACCTTGTTGCAGGATTTTAAACTTTCTCTTAAGAGTTCTTCGAAAAGCTTTTAAATCTGCAACACGACTCTGATCCTCCCCAATGATTACATGAGACACTCCCTGAGCTAAACGAGAAACTACTTTGGCTCCATGAAATCGAAGCTCCAGAGCTGTAACAGCTAATCTCGTTCCCTCGATTTTGGTACTCAAGTCATTAATAACAGCATACAAGTCCAAATAAATAATGTGGTGTCGAAACATACTGAGAGGGGAACGGTCCCAGGAATACCGATACTCTAAATTAGCAATCACAGAAGCCATTTCTCCAGGAGTTTGTGCGCTGGAATTTTTAATTCCTGAGAACACTTCCTTCAGTTGGTTCAAATCTGTATCAACAAAATAACTGTCACCGTAACAGTCATATTCACGGGCAAAATGTTCCTTTGTTGATGGGCACATATGAATCATAAAGCGAGGCTGCCACGGCACGCAGCTTTTGGTCTTAAAACACTCCAACAGCCACTCGGGCTTGACAACATCATGTTTATTCGAAGAAATTATGTTTTTCACTCTGATGTTCTCGGACCCTGCAATCACGCAGTACGTGTCTGGACCTGGGTTTTGTACTATATAACCACCAAATTCTGCAATTCTGTTCTCCAGATCAGGCTTCGGATGGCTGTCCATTCCGTTCATGACACAGAACTCCACATCTTCAAATATATTAGAAATTTTGTTTACATTAGAAAGGTTGGGTGCTTTTAAGTGCTCGATAATTCCAATAGCTTTCTTCACCTTCGGGGCAGCTTTCCTCTTCTTCTCCTGTGGTCCGTCATCATCCCCAACGTACAGGTGTTTGGATGCAAGCTTCCCCGATGCTTTCCCACGAAGCTGTTCTAAGTCATCCAGGGTGGTGCATTCGCGCCACTCTTTGTCTTCCCTTATCCTCTCGATTCGTGGAAAACGCAGTGTGCAGCCAGTTTTATACATATCACTGGGGACGATCTCTGTGGCCTTCACTTGAACAATGACAGAATGACAAGGCTCGATGTACACCTCAGGCTTCTCTGTTCCACACAAAATGTTGCTTGGTGGAGCTTTTCTATGAAAAGGCTTCCAATGCTGGGCCAATTTCAAACCCAGATCGTACAGCTCTTTCATGGTATAACCCGAACCAACACGACACAGAGTATGAAACACTGACGGTTTTTCACCAGGAGGAGGCTTCTCTGCTACAGCACACAAAAAATGAGACATCATCCCACCTCGGGAACCTTTACCCCAGTAGCCCCCGACAATTAAGATGTCCAGCTCATCCATCAGCCCGTCCACGTACTCTGGTTTAATTTTCAACCATCCTTCGCCTCTTTTGTCTGGCTTGTAAATAGACAGAGGCTGTTTTATCATGATTCCCTCTTCCCTTTTATCTATGGCTTCATTCAAAGCGTCGATCACTTCTTTCTGAGTATGAGCTTGTGTTTTTTGCACCATTTCTATTCTACCTGGTACTGGTGTAAAAACACTAGTAAGAATTTCATACCTCTTTTTCAGGATCTCATGTCCTAGCTTTTTATTATTAACCATCAGTACATCAAACACACAATAACAAGTTTGCAGCTCAGAATCCTCCACCATTCTTTTGATATCAAACTTATTCCCCTTTTGCATAAAAGTCTGTGTGTTAGGATTGAAGGCCATCATCTCTCCATCCAGGATACAGATCTGTACGTCTGTTTTAAATGCACTGTGAATGAACGGTGTGAGAGAACCTTCCTGGGGAGAATTGCCGAACTGATCCGTATAGTTAAAACCATGTCGGGAGAAGTACTGATACGCATCCCCCTGTTTGTGCATCTGCATACGCTCACCGTCTAGCTTGGTTTCAATGTAGAAACTTTGGTGTTTCATGGCCTTCTCGATTTGCTCAGTATCTGCCATAGCAGCCAGCATTGGTTTGAAGGCAGAGAATAAAGTGATGGAAATGTCACTGAGTCCTATGGAAGGATCATGCAGTTGCCTACAGACTTTCTCCAGATCTGTGGTGACATTATGCAACTCGACAGCATCATTATGGAAAACAGAAAATACAGACTGCTCACTGAAACCAAGTTTTAAGTCCTTTACAATCATCCGTATAAGCCACTTTTGTTCCAGTGCTGAACTCTGACTTATTAGCTGAAGAAGACTCTTCTTTATTAGGTCCTTTCTTCTGGCAGAATTATTGCTGGCAATTGAGTCTAAAATGTCATTTACCTGCTGTATGGTTAAACTTCCTTTCTGCAAGCATCTTGGTTTCAACACAAAATATGCAATTGTTGCAAAGTCTCCAGCATCTCCACGAGGCCCGGTGGGCGTTCTATAATTTAAAAGTTTAAGGGCGTCTTTTCCTTCTTTAGGTAAATTAAGCAATTCGATATAAAGTTTAGCAAGCATAGTTTCTTTGATTCCGTAGGCCATCCTCTCTCTTTCTAGCTGAGGAAGAATAAGTCTCATTGCTGGATAAAAGGAGTCCCTGACATCCTTTTGGTTCTTATGAAGGGCATCGTGAAATCTTCTCCAAGAATCTAAAAATTCCCTGAAGTGTCTGATTTTTTCTGCACGTCCTCTACTTCTCTGTATTCGTTCTAAAGTTGAACACAAGTCTGCAAAAGGAACGTGAGATGCAACAGTTTGCGAAGTCTGTGAGGCAGCCATGGAGGCGGTGGTCAATCCTCTGGTTTAACTAATAAGGCAAAAAGAGAATAACTTTCAATAAGAGACAAAATTCAACTAAATAGTTCACGTAAAGCCCTTACAGAGAGTGCCTCGTTCGTGATCAATGTTTGCTAAATGAAAATGAATTAATGCTAGAAATTATGTCTCTTTTCAATCTCTACATTTAAACTTCAATCCCATTTAGTATTTATTATCAAAAGTATCACCAGCCCTTCTTGCTACATTTACAATAGTGAAATTGACCACTCTGTCTTTCTCCCTAAATTCTAACTTCAGTTGACTTAATGATTCCATTCCTTATTTAGCTCATCGTGCAAAGGAATAACAACAGAAAAACAAGGCTCAATTCATTTCTTTTCTGGGCTTCTGACTTACATTTCTCCTCCTTTTCTGTCAGAGTACCATACAGCATCAGAAACAGACGTTTTTAACAAATCACTGAATTGAAACTTGGCTTTGCAGGAAGTTTGAACTCTTACATAGGTAGGAGTTCACCAAAAAAAAAAAAAAAAAAGGTAAACAAAGCCCACATCTGCGTTTACTTTCACTTCACTGCTAGCTATGCCAAATCACTCGTGTTCAAAACCCCACTCAAAATACCCTCCCCAGGAAATCCTTACTTGACCTATCTCTTTTAACTCTATTTTATCATAGTTACTTAATAGCTTTATAAACTTAAACTCATTAGTACACTTTTTTGTTCATATTCACATGCCATTTGCCCCCCAACAATTCACTGCGTGTATGTGCCAGGCACCATACTATGGGCAAACACAGTATGTTTCTGCCTTAAGAGAGCATACATTCTGTAAAGAGAAAGGGGATATAATGGGAACTAATTATAAAATGCTGTGTTTTAACAAAAGTAAAATATCATGAGGCAGAACTTTTGACTGAAGCATCTTCTAAAGTCAGAGAGGAAATAACAGGTACCTTGCTGGGTTAGGGTCTAGACTGTTTCCTAAAGTGGTCCCAAGTGTGAAACTTCTTTGAAGTCTTAAATACTCATGCAAATTTTTTAGAGGGGGTAGGGGTAGAGGGAGTGGGAGAGAGAGAGAATCTTAAACAGGCTCCATGCCCAGTGCAGAGCCCGACATGGGGCTCCATCTCACACACTGAGATCATGACCTGAGCCAAAATCAGGAGTCAGATGCTTAACCAACTGAGCCACCCAGGCGCCCCAGCAAATTCTATTAGAATCTATAAGATATCAGAGCTATTATATGATTTAAACTACGTAACATTAAAATCAACTAACTTTTCCAAAAAAGACTTCAAGTAACAATGTGCATTCCAGGAATATAAACCGTGTCCTATCTTGTTAAAGTTTGCTTTAACAGATTTAAACCAGGAGGTTTCAGATACCTCCTGGCACATCCCTGTGTCGCCTAGAGAGCAGGGAGATCCACTGTAGTCTCAGAGACCATGAGATTGCCCACGGCAGCAAACAGGACAGCACACACTACGAGCACAAGGCCGCACTACCTGACAGCTGGCACAAGAAATCCAACGGCTGGTCATGGTACCACGGTTTCCACACTGCCAGTCTCCGGAGGCCAGGAGCGCCTGGCATGTAGTAGGTTTGTTTGTGGAATGAATTACTGAGCACCTAGAGTTGAGTTCCTGGAGAAACACACTAGGAAAGGCCAGGGGCTGGTCATACACCACCCCCACTCCCCGCCACAGTGAGCCTCGTGGGATTCAGTTTGGTCATAAACATTTAGCAGCTATGACTGCACTGGGAAAGTTTCGCAACAGCCACTTGGTGGCCTTTCGGGGAAAAAGGCCACACTTCTCAGTCTAATGCCTGACAAAGGAAACTCAACTTCCATGGAGTCAGTTAGACCAAGAGACAAACCCACGAGAGAGCAGTTTCCTGAGACTTTTCTCTTTGAATACAGTAACTGCTTCCTCTGTCTCATTTGCATAACTGACTGAACCACCTGGTTATACATGTTCACTGTTTACCTCTCAAAACATGCTCTCTCTCAAGTCAGTACATTATGGTATATACTGTTATGTTTACAAATCACATACAGTATGTACATAAAACAAAGAATGTTAAGAAATACTTCTTGGAATGTTCAAGATGGGTATACAGTTTCTGATCTACCTGAATGTTCCACTTGGTCTCAGTTTCCCTCAGCAAGTTCCAGGCAAAGACTCAAATTACTTTATAACAACACTGAAATCTAGGTTACACACGTATGCCAAAACTGCTATAAATATAACAAGGGTTCCAAAATTAGTATAAAATGAATAGACTGAAAATTTTTGCTCATTAAAATTGTACAGGAAAATCGCCTCTCGGCCTTTTGGCTAAGATCAAGTGTCAGACTGTACAAGAAAATAAAAATAAAATTGTATAAAAAAGGTCAAATATTAGGATTTCCTTTAAACATCAAACATAAAGGGATTTCCTTTTAAACATTCTCTAATTTTATTTTCTGGATTCTGAGCTTGTTAGCTGATGCTTTTGATTTGTGAAAAAACAAAACAGTTTGTGGTGAGGGTTCAGGCTCTAGAGTCCAATAAATATGAGTTCAACCGTGGACTCAACACTTAATAGCTGTGTGACATGGGGCAACCACGTAATTTCTCTAAGAGTCAGTTTCCGGAAGTCTAAAATGGGGTTAATAACTGTAGAAGGTAAGATGAGGATGAGCTCAGATATTTACACGAGGTGCTTAACACAGTACTTGGCAGTTAGCAAATCCTTGGTTAATTCAGTACCATAATGCTTGTTGATGCAAGTAATATTTAAAATATAAGTATCACAAAATATTAAGGAAACAGAGGAGGGGTACGCTTTACTCTTTGGTAAAAATAAGCAAAGCACTCAAGAGAGTGAATACAATTAGCACAGAGTAATGACTCATCGTCTATTCAGCTGCTGCCTATATTGTCCTAAAGTGACACAACAAAACGTCCTAGCAAAGTGAATACGATGATTCCGTGAATATGATGATTCAGAGGTATTTTATTGGAGAGAAAGTGACTGGGACAACTTAAGTTTCCTCCCTGCACCCCCTGAGGAGATGATGCCCTTCCCTAAGAGACGAAGGGTTTACGGTAGCCTCCCTCCCGCAGCACTTGTGACAATCAGGGAGAATCTCAGCAGAAAGGAATTTGCGTAAGGAAAAGGCCAGAAGGCGGTGGGAGCCGGGAGGCTGACAAAAGACGAAACAGAAGAAGAGAAATAAGGCTCCAGTATCTCTGTCCGACTCCACCGAAACACGCCTGCACCACCACCGGAGGGGTCCACACCACTCCTCCGTCCCCCACCCCCACCGCAAGGAGACCTGCCACGGATCCCGGGTGAATCCCCGCCGCGGGGGAAGATCCCGTTACCTCCTTGAGCCCGAGGGTCCCCACCGGCTTGGGGAGGAGGGGGTCCCCGGAATCAGAACGTCTGTAACCACGCCATCACAGCAGCCAACAGTCTCTGGGACGCAGGCGCGAACGAACTCCAGTCCCCTCGCCCGAGTCCAACAGTGGAGGTCTAGATCAAGAACCCCAAACCGAAGGCCCGCCTTCTAACGCAGCGCCGTCGCCAAGGTGGCCCGGGCCCTGCACCTGTGACGCCGGGAGGGGCGGAGGGACTGAAAGACTTTTTGTCCCGAAACAAGAAAAACCAACTTTTAAGACCATAAGCATTTGCTGGACTGAGAAGACGAGGGATTCCGCCCTGGTCACGCTGGCTCGACCTCCGCCTGCCCGGACTTGCCCTCAGGCTCGCCCCGTGGACTCCGAGGCCCCTCCCCAGCCGCGCCGCCACACAAACGTCCTACCAGAAGCGGAGCCGCAGGTGCGGTCACCAAACCGGAAGCCGCCGCCCGAGGATCTGTTCCGCCAGCTGCTCCGAGCGCATACGCAATCGCCACTGAAGGCCAGGGAGGCCCTGACATCATGAAGATGACGTGCGCAGACGCAGGCGCAGCTCCAGGCCGTGATGTCATAGGGATGATGTGCGCAGGCGCAGTGACGCTCGGGATGGGCAGAGGCGCGCCTTGCAAGGCTGCGGAGGACTCCAGGGAGTCCTGGTAACAGTGTGACTAGAAACACAACTCCCGTTAGCCTCCCGAAGCAGCAGGTGCTCTTTGCAAGTGGTTGACCCATGAGAGTGGATTTCCTCTCTGAGCAAGAACCGAGAGTACTTTGTGTACTAGCTCCTTACTTGGACCATGAACCTAGGCCTGTCTCTGCTAGGCCTGCTCACTAGCAAGTGACAGCCTCATAGAGTTCTGTTCTCTGTAAACAGTGGTACCAACACTCATCTCACTGGTTGGTTGTGAAAATGCCCAGGATTGAAAAGGGCATCTTCCCTCCCAAAACATCTGCTGTTTACTCTAAATGGAAAAATAGGCTCTTGCAAAATTGCCTAAGGCTGTCCTTTCCTATTTGTTTCTCACAATGGTACAACTTTGACGTGAGTTCTTATCTCTTAATACAGAAATACATAATTCATAAAACACATAATAAATCATTCTTAATACAGACATAAGGAGTTGCATGCCCAGAAATCAACTATGGACTCTTCTAAGCGTCCGTTCAAGGATTCAAAATAAAATTATTTGGCAAACCTTTATACAGCACCAATACAGTAATTGTGCTAGGCATTCAAGATTGAGATGAAAACAAAATTAGTCCTTCTGTTCCAGGAGCTGTTGATTTCTACCAATGTTTTGTTACGGTTTGTTTTCTTTTATGGAGAATTGAGAAATTATCCATGACAATGGGGGAAACAGCTTTTATAATTATTTCCTCTTAGCATAAAATACTGTTGTTTTAAGATGTGGTATTTTAAGAAAGTGGTATTTTGCTGCAACAGACTCTGAGAACATTTTAGAGCTGTTAAGTGCCCTTAGGAGCACTTAGTGTACAAAAATCTCATTTTACAAAACTGACACTTATTTAATTCACAGTATTAGTTTGTAGTAGAGCAAGACTTAGGGCTCCTTCTAGCCCAACAACATTCAATGAATTTCCTTGTATGTCTAATTCACCTAAGTTATCCAAATATTTCTCTGAAATTAGCTATGAAGTTTTAAAGTCACATGATACTCTTGTGATGGTAATTCCTCTACCTACTATTCAACTTAATTATCAATTTGTTTTGGAGTAACACCCAACAGTGTTAGTAAAGGACCCCCCACAGTTGCCCATCTTATGAAAGGCATTTGTCTGTGCACATTTGCACCTTGTTCAGCATCTACCGAGCTCCTACAATGTCAGAGTTTGTACTTTATATTTTTGATATGAGAAGAACCGTGGATTATGAAACCAAACTCCAAATTAATTCAAATCTTCATCTCCAATTTACCAGAATATTTTAGCCTTTCTAATGCTTGGTTCAAAGATAATCAGAGGTTTTTCATTAAGTATCTTCTAGAATTGCTGTGATTATTAGTTTATTTATGTAAATAGTCTACCTTAGTGCCTGGCATTTATTAGGCAACAAACAACAAGAAGCTATTATCAAGAGCTTATGACCTAGAGCTCTCCATCTGATGGAGGATACATGTTTGTTTGTTTGTTTTTAAATATGAAATATCCTTCGTATATGTATAAAATAGGGTACAGAGAATAGGGAATGAATGAGGGAGGGGGACAGACATCTGTAGAAAAACAATTTAGTACAACTTGGTGCCCAGGGGGGTTGATAGTGATGATAATGAGGGGTGCCTGGGTGCCTCAGTCGGTTAAGCCTCCGACTCTTGATTTCAGCTCAGGTCATGATCTCAGGGTGGTGAGGTGGAGCCCTGAGTTGGGCTCCATGCTCTGCAGGGAGTCTCCTTGAGATTCTTTCTCTTTCCCTCTCCCTCTGCCCCTCGCCCCACTTGTGCTTTCTCTCAAAATAAATAAATAAAATCTTAAAAAAGAAGAAGACAGTGAATCTAATAAAACACCAGCTTCAAGGGCCCATTTGTGTGGCCACTTCCCAGCACCTGGGCTCTAGGAATGTTCCACTGGTCTTGTGCTTTTGTAAAATTTGCAAAAATAAGATAATTTTGCACTCTTTTTCTCTAAATCTCCCCAGGTTCAGGCCTCTGATAGAGGCAGGAGAGGGCAGGGTTGGGAGAAAACAGAAATAAAATGAGTTATGCACGCCTTTTAAGTACTTAGTGGAACACACTCTAATACCCTCATAATTCTATTAGGCAGACACGCTTTCTTATGTAATTAATACTTATTTGTGTGCACGCTTAGAGCTGTGTCCCGAAGGGAAATCTGGTGCGTTACCAACACTCACCCTGGGGACCTCGGATGAGGGGCGGAAGGCCTCCAGGGGCCCCGGGCGCAGAAACCACCAGGCAGCCTACAGCGAGCTCCAGTACGCTGGGGACCAGGCTGCAAGGTATCCTGTCCCTGCGGGCCACCGTCGTGGGGACTCCTCCCCCCCCCGACTGCGGTTTGTGCGCATGCCCCGGAGGGCGTGTCGGGTTCCCACTTCGGGGAGGAAGGCGGAGAGGAGAGCAGGTGATGTGGGAGCCGGCGGGGAGATTTGCCGGCGACACCGAGCGTGGGCCGGAAGTGGAGGAACCGAGAGCGGCGCCGCAAGAGCTCCGGGCGAGACCGTGGCGACGGCGGCGGCCCCTCGGCTGGCGGAGGACGATGAGGAGCGACGGAAGCGGCGAGGGGGGACGCTGCTGCGCAGCACCGGGTTCCGAGTCCGCGGCCGACTCTGCAGCCTGCGAGCAGGTCTAAGTAAGTGCGGTGCGCGGCCGCCGAGCTACCGGGTGCGCTCCCGCGGGGTGGGAGACGCGGGGGGCGGCCGGCGGGGCCTTCCCGGGGCTGCGGGATCCGGACGGGGGCGGAGGGAGGCGCCCAGCGTGGACGCCGCGCGCCGGTTACCGACGGCCCCCGGGGTGCCGTGCGGGGACCGAGCCTGGAACCGGTCCGCGGTGTTCCCAGTAACGCGCGCAGACCGGTACTAGGAGACCGCGCCTCCCCGCCCCCACCCACCCTCCCACGCCCCGAGGAAAAGTGAACCAGAAAATCCCCAGTCGCTAGGGCGCTGGGAGCTGCCACTCACAGGTTTCGACCTGCGGGTTTCACGGCAGGAAGTTTGGGGTGTCGAGCGCACCCCGCACTGTCGAAGCCCATTTTGCTGTGGATTTCTGTCAGCATTTATTTTCTGCAAAATGCATCACTAGTGTTACTGCCCAAGGTGTCGTGACCAAAAAAAACCCAAAAAAACAAAAAAACAGATCTTTTTTTTCAACAGTTGTTCAACATAGGTTTGCTAGGTAATGGTAACAGCGTAGAAAGGCACAAGACGATATGGGCTTCGAGTTCTGATGTTCGATTTTCATGGATCCCCTCGCGGTTTCTTTTGGCACGGGTTAACACTTCTTTGTGTGCATGCTTGGATTAATCACATGTCTTTTACTAAAAAGTTCTATTTCAGGAAGTAACAGTTTGCTGTTACCCGTGTCATATCATCTCATAATTACCTAAAACACAGACTGCTCAATTCAGTAATCGTGGATAGACTTACTATGTGGCAGGCACTGTCTACTGAAAATACAGAATCGAATAGATGGAAGTCCCCGTCCTCAAGGAACTCCCAGTCTGTGTAAGACAGATGAATTAATTATACTGTAGTAGTAAGTGTCACCGCGTAAATGTGTGCAAACTACAGAATATGGAATGGTTAGTAAGGGAAGGCTTTCTGTAGGAGTTGCTACCTGAGCTGGGTTTTGACAGAAAAATAAGGCATTGCCCTAATTATTTCCTGTCTGCAAATACTCAGGTATTCTCTGGTGAGTCTTATCCATTATTTAATCCAAGTCTAGCAGAACTTCTGGTTGTACTTACTTCACTTACCCTGCTTTGGTGGATCATAAAATACTTTAAATTCTGTCTTACAGTCGCAGCTGCATTAACACACTACCTATTACATTTGATCCCAGCCGTTTTTCAATTACATGATTCATCTCCCCTTTACTTACGAGGAAACATATATTTAGAGAAGCTAAATGAGTTGGCAAAAGTCACCTAGGTAATAACAGACCAAGCCGGAAAACGTCTCTTTCCACTGCACCACACTGCCTCCTGTGGTAGTTGATTTGAGATGATGAGTATAAGCCAGCTGCTGGCTATCTCTGCCTTCCCATCCTGGTGCCTCACCTGCCTTCTCAGGCACACCTCCAGCTCCTTGCCCTCTGAGTGACAGGATTTACGAACCAAGTTGTTCAGGGTTAACAGTATCACTTAGTGATAGGTTGAGGAAGCTGTCAAGCCTAATGTTTTCCTATGATCTCCCCTCTCTTGTTTCTCATCTTGGGGGAATCTATTTCTGTTTCTCTGTTTTTCACTACTTTGGGACTCAATTATAACTCAGATTCTAAAATCTTTCTGATTCTTGTTTTATCACCTCAGGAATGCCTGAGGCCCATAGATACCCTTCTTAGATTTAGACGAAAAAGGGTTCTAGTTTTTCTAATTCTTCTAATTAAGATGTTTTTCTCCTCAAATGACACACTTCATAATGAATTATTACATTTTATGTTACTGTTTCTTACAGGTCTTAACTCCTACAGTGGTACATTCTAAAGTTGCAAAGGTGTAGTATTTCTAGGACGTGAACTCTGTGCATTAGTGAGTTAGCCTGAGAATCGTAATAAGGAAATAATTTTTAAGTTTCATCCATCTAGTTTATAGTAAAGTGTCTAGAACAGTGCCCCCTTCTTAAGTTGGAAACTTCCTGAAGTTCATTATCAGTCTTAATTCTCACATTACTATTTGCATTTTTAGCCTTTGTGGCTCTTTTTAAACATTTTTTCTTACAGATAATTATAATCGCAGAACAAATTGTGATTGGCTTCCCTAGTGACAATGATCTGTCATCTTTGTTCTGTCAGAGTTGACTGCATTTGCCAAGTCTTCCATGTTTCCAGTAAAGGGAAAAGCACAAAAATGCTATGTGTGTGGCTGCCTGGTACATACGTCCAAGATACCTGCTGAAGCAGGTTTAAATCCCAGTTCATAATGCTCTCTGAACGATTCAGTTCCTATCCAACATTTCCATAGGCCGTTGTTGTTCATCTGTCCCAGAGGACCATTAATACACCCTTTTTCATTATTGATGACATGTGGGTACCCATTAGGGAAGTAGAGAATTCATTCTGTGGTGTCTCCAGCACACTGATAGCTGCTTGTGTTTCCACGTCGGCTGTGCGGCTGGCATGATTTCTTAACTTACCACTGCTTAAAAGAAAAGGAGATACGTTGATGCAGGAAGGTTGAACTTGACTTCTGTATTACTTGAAATGTGATTGGAAACTGAATTCCATCGGAGTTCTTGATGAGCAGCATGGAATACTCCTTGATCCCTTGTGATCTGGCTGTTAGCATTGACACACGAATATGCTGTCTACGTTTTACAGCCTTCACTTGAACCTGCACATGGTTCTGTCACTTGGAGGTATGCTTTTTAACGAATGATCAGTTTTTATTTTTAAACAAGCTGTTTCCAAAATTACCAATTTGAGATGGACTTAAGGGCCTTTAAAAATAATAGTACATTCATGACTGAGGACTTTTTCCATTGCATGTATACAGTTGGTGAACCTTCAGTCAGATTGGGGGAATTTGTCTTTCACGTACAGGTAAAAGATCTTCTGTACTTTTCAAAGACCTTGTACTGTTGGCAGAATCAGTAAATCACTGTACACAGTGTACAATGTAAACATCTGCGATTAAAAAATAATTAGCCTTGGGGTACCTGGGTGGCTCAGTCTTTAAGCGTCTGCCTTCGGCTCAGGTCATGATCCCAGGGTCCTGGGATTGAGCCCCACGTCGGGCTCCCTGCTCAGCGGGAAGCCTGCTTCTCCCTCTGCCACTACTTGTGTTCCGTCTCTCACTGTCTCTCTCTCTCTCTCTCTCTGTCAAATAAATAAATAAAGTCTTTAAAAAAGAAATAATTAGGCTAATTAGCATTTACTTTTTTGTGTGAGAATTCCGACCTTTATTAAAATATAATTTTAAGTATGATTGAAAGAATAACATATTTGTCTGATTTACTCTTTTAGTTACTGAGGCAATGATAATTAAAATGTATTCATTCACATAGTTTGGAGTTTTAGTTTTTGATATATTTAAGTTGTTTTTCTTTATAATTTGTGGATAAAATATAGTTGGAAAAAGAATTGATCTGAATAGGTTACCAACTTCCGAGGGAAGTGATAATATTTTTGGCAAGGAGGAAGTTGATGGTGGTTGTTACTCTAGACTTGAAATTAATCTTTAATGTAGTGTTTGCCATCGTGTACATTACTTTTTTATTGGAGAGACTAACGTGAGTTCCATTAACTAAAGCAAAAACAAGACCTTTCAGAGTTCATAAAAACTCATGATAGTTCCTTGTGTATTCCTGGCTTTCCTTTCTCCCCTCCCAGTAATTATACAATCCTAAAACATGCTATGTTTTATGTGAAGGTTGCTCAGCCAGAGTTATTTTCTACAACTTTAACTGTGTGTGCTTTAAAAATATGTTACTTTGACAGTAGTGGTGTGGGAAGGAGACTGAAAATGTATGATGAATAAAATATTTCACAAACCTCAATTGAAATATAAAGTCACTGTATCTGTGCACATCGGAGATTTCTAGAGACTCATTTTTAATCTTGGTCCATACTTACCTCTCTCATTAACTTTTCAGTTACTTATTAAAGTCATATAACTGGGCTCTCCAACCTTCTACCTGTACTAGATAGCAAAGACTATTTATAATCTAATGCTTATTTTCCAACTCTGCCTTTAATTTTTCTCTGTCACCTATAAAACAGATTTTGTGAGACCTTAGGGATTATTCAGGTAACAACTTTCTTCTGCAAATGTGGAAACTGAGACCCAAGGTAAAAAAGTGATACGTGGGAATACCCATTCAAAATGGGTTGCCACATTTAAATGTGGACTTGGCTAGTGATCTGAGAATGTGTGAAGCAGCATTCACGGAGTACAGGCCTCACCCAGAGTGACACAACCTTTGCCTAGGCAGAAAGTTCTCTCTCCAGAGTTTGTCATCTGTCTTCTGTTTATGATCCTTGGGAACCTGAAGAATGCTAAGTGTTTTTATTAAAGATATTTCTCTTCCAGAATCTAGCAAGCTTTAGCAACCTGTATATATTATAATGCACAAAATATTTAAATTAATGTAGTACATCGTTCTTTGGGGGGGGATTTTTCTGGTTTTATTTTATTTTTTATTTTAATTCCACTATAGTTAATGTACAGTGTTATATTAGTTTCAGGGATTTTTTTCTGGGGATGCGGAAATCGTTCAATATTCTCAGTCAACATGATACAACATGTTAACAAATTGAAGGATAAAAATCATAAGATCATTTCAGTTTTCAGAAAAACCATTTGAAAAAATTGAACATCTGATTTAATGATAAAAACTCTCAACAGAGTGGGTATGAGGGGATAAACTTCACCATAATGAAGGCCATATGTATATAGAAAAAACCCACAAGTAACATCCTAGTCAGTGGTGAAAGACTGAATGCTTTTCACCTAAGATCAGGAACAAGACAAGGAAATCCACTTGCCCCACTTTATTCCCCATAATACTGGAAGTCCCAGCTGTAGGAATCTTCTTCCATGTGGCCTCTGCTTTCCCTTTAGTTGTGGAGTTTGTTCTGTCAGTCTTCAGGTCGACTGCTGGGGTATTTAGGATGATTTGATAGTTACCTAGTTCT